GAAGATAACCCTGATGTATATCACACAAGGCTTATCCTACCTAAATACAGATATTAATATCTAAGCATAGAAGATAACCCTGATGTATATCACACAAGGCTTATCCTACCTAAATACAGATATTAATATCTAAGCATAGAAGATAACCCTGATGTACATCATACAAGGTGTATCCTTTCTAGATACAGAAATGAGTATCTAAACCTAGATGATAACTCTGATGTACACCATACTAGGTGAATCCTTACTAGATACATATATTAATATCTAAACCTAGAAGATAACCCTGATGTACATCATACAAGGTGTATCCTTCCTAGATACAGATATTAATATCTAAACCTAGAAGATAACCCTGATGTACATCATATCGGGTGAATCCTTTTTACATACTGATATTAATATCTAAATATAAAAGGTAACTGATGAACATCACACTAGGTTGTATGTTTCCTAAATATAGATATTATATCTAAACACAGCAGATAATCCTGATGTACATCACACTGGGTTGTATCCTTCCTAAATACAAATGTTAATTTGTATACTAATCTAATAATCTACACATTGACATTAGTACTGAAAAATGTAATCATTGTTTATCTTTAAAAAATCTATAAATTTTCTTACCAATAAAGTAAGTCATAATTTAATATAAAGTACAACATATTGCTCTGTGATTTAAGTTATTAAATCATTGCGAGTTGACTTATCCAGATTTCCTGCTTAAACTTATAAACACATAACAATATTAAAATTTTGAACCATCAGTGAAAACAACAGATATTAAACCTGCTCATATAAAAAATGTAAAGTTTTTTTACAATCTGTTCAAAGCTAGATAACTTTAATACAGTTAAACATAAATCATATTCACTCTAACAATTATAGGTAGTGTAACAGATACCATGACCTTCTTGAATTCTGTTGTTTAAAACAGAATATTACTTAGCAACATAAGAAAATGTTGAAAGAACCAACAAACTTAGTGAACTGGTGAATAAATGAAGTTATGATTAATAATGGCTGGAGACGGCTTGAATGGGCAATGAAGAAAAACTTTAATGTAAGTTTAACATAACAGCAAATGTACAATGTTTCGACAAGGTTTTGTCATCATCATCTCCAGCCATTATTAGTCTCAAAGTGGGTTCCTCGTCACCAAATTTGAAGTTATATATAACTTCTATCTATTTAAAGAAAATGCACAAAGATGAACAGAAACACTAAGCAGGTTGTTCATATCACTGAACATTCAGCTGTTAATTACTTGTTAACTAAGTCTTTCAAATAAGGGAGATTTATATTTCATGATGTAATATACACCTAGGTTGATTACAATTTTCATTTTAGTCTAATACATAAAGTACTAGTAAAGGTTAAGTTGCAGATAATAATACAGTACCTACACTAACAAAGGAATAATGGCAGCAGAAGAAGATGTTAGCTAACAAATCTAAATATAAACAGCTATAGTACATCAACACTTCCTGGAATAACTACTGGAGTTCTAGAAGTTAGAGTTTGTTTACAAACAAAACAGAACTTTACACTCACGACTTGGAAGCAAAAACATAGAGTGCAGAAAGTTAGAAATGTGTTACCAATTTCTAATTAAAGCTGATATCAAGAAAGTACATTCATTATCTGGTTGTAAAAATGAAGAGTAACTTTGTAGCCTGAGAAGATTCTTCACAACAGTAATATGGTAAAAACAAAAACCTTAACAGTCATAATGTAAGGAATAATAATCATTATTCTGCATTAGCAACAGCAGTATAAAAACAAAGCTAAGCTTTAAAAAAGCAGGACACTGTATAGCAGGATATACAAATAAGCTTAGCATGACTTGCGGTATTACACTTTCTTGCCTCTGTACCAAAGCCACAAAGCAGAAAATGGTTAAGTATGGGATAACAGTTAGGATGAAAAGTCAAGTTAAACAACAATTAAAGCCAGGAAAGGTTGCAGCATAACTTGTGATTCTGTGACAATCCCCAGCTCTGAAGGCTGTGATGACATTACAATCCCCAGCTCTGAAGGGTGTGATGTCATTACAGTGACAATCCCCAGCTCTGAAGGGTGTGATGTCATTACAGTGACAATCCCCAGCTCTGAAGGATGTGATGACATTACAATGACAATCCCCATCTCTGAAGGATGTGATGACATTACAATGACAATCCCCAGCTCTGAAGGATGTGATGACATTACAATGACAATCCCCAGCTCTGAAGGATGTGATGACATTACAATGACAATCCCCAGATCTGAAAGGTGTGATGACATTACAAGGACAAAAGCAGGTATGCACTAAATTCTAGAAAACACAAACATTTCAATATTTTTATCTTCTATCTATCAGTAATTTATGAAGTCGATAATGCACAATCAAAATTATATTTGAAAACAGGAAAATTGTTCCTGTTGTTATCCAGTCATGCACTAGGACTCGATTTTAACTTCAACTAATAACTTTCTCTGTAAAAAGCCTAATTTAAATAATTGCATAAGAAGATAATACTTGATGAACTACCAACTCTGTCCTGGAAGATGTTACACATTAAAGATGATGTAGGAAACCGGTAATAACATGGACAGACATGAACACTGTAATTACTTTTATATAGCTTCTTAACTAGACATTTAAACCCATCTAAAGCACTTGCTTGTCAGCTCTTTCAAGCTCCACAAACCAGGAAGTGTACCACAGAGCAAGGAAAGGTTAAGCACAATGCAAGCATCATAGGATAAGCTCCATTAGCAACACAGCTCTTACCTTCTGTAGCTGCTGGAAACCCAACCAGTGAGAGGAGGTGTGAAATAAAGAAGACTTGTATGAGTTTTGAGACAAGAAGAATTTTTACCTTAAACTGTTAATCAATGAAGAACGTATAAGTTTAGCTCACACTCATGCAAAAACTTGGGAAGATTTTTAATTAATGCAAGCTGTATAAATGTTCAATTCTTAGGCAGTGATTATTCAACATTACATTGTTATACTCACTTTTAATATAAACTGTGTTTCTCTGTTCTTCCATTTCAGGCAAACTAAAATAGTTTTTCTTAATTAATATAATGTGTATTCTGTATTTCTTTTTTTATATATATATTGTGAACAGCATATATTATGTGGGTGTATTTTGGCATGGTATAATGCCTACTGTAATGAGTGTACCATGTTGTGATCAGAAATGTAGGCAAGACGAGGTACGCCAAGAATAAGACTGAGTCTGTTGAGACCAAGATCACTATATTTTTACGTGAACCAACCTCACAATTTAAATAACATTTTTGAATGAAACCATGAGTAACCACAACAATAATAATAAGTTTACTTTTTGATTTTTGTTTTCTATAAACAACAAATGCAAAAATGTGAACAATTGAAAAAAAATAATTATTTTCACCTTTTTAAGTTACAATACGTACAGTTAGGAATACACACTCTGAAATGGTTAATGAAAACGTTTACAGAATTCTATATGTGTCACTGTGTCTATAGTCTACAGCAATACCTAGGTCACTGCTGGTTTTTAATTAGGCAACTACATTATCATGGTATATGAATAAACTTGGCATCAAAACATAGTTAATAAATCAAATCTTAATATTATAAAAGATTTATCAAGTTCTTAATTTTATATAGAAATATTTTTAAAAATCCTCAATCTTCCCTAGTATTAGAATTATAACATTTCCTTTCAAGGTATATTCCCTCTTCTCTAATTTATTTACCACCCCTCCCAGAAGTACAGAATTTAATGTAAATTACTTATTATAATATAGATATTACTCAGGAAAAAAATATTTTATAATCTTCAATCTTATTCGTATCTTTCAAATATAACCACTACCGCACACATTATTACAAATAATCATCCAGTAATTTTATTTTGTGTTACTGATAGCCAAAAACTTTGTTAAGAGAACCAAACTATTACAGGAATTGTATTGTGTGGCAGGAAGAGGTGTTGTTAGGTGTATAAAAGATTCTGGACTTGGGCCTATAGGCATAGGAATATTCAATGTTTCAGTATCATATCGATAATGGTTTTCTATTCTGATTTTTCAAGACAACAACTGGGGATGTGAAGTACTGTCAAATAGAATTGGGATATGGGCCCCATGTGCCAGTGCCTAGCTATTTCTCTTGTGGCAGGGATGAGTTTCTTTAATGGGAAGGGCGGAGAGGCTGTGATTACTTGAAATCTGATGCAATAGGTGTAGTAATTTTGAGTAGGATAGATTCCTAATGTTCCTTGTGAGTATAATACATTACTTTGCCTTTTATAATTGTTGATGGCTATAAATAAAGAAAAATTAAACTGGTAAAACTGAGGACATAAAATAATATTTAAAATTAAAATAAACAAGACCAAGACCAATGTTCTAAGACCAAGACCAACGTTCCAGGCCCATGATCAATGTTCCAAGACCATGACCAATGTTCCAATACCGAGACATCAAAAGTTGCCATCGAAACCAAGACAGGGTTTCAAGACTCCATTTCTGGTTGTAATAATGCCTATTGTAGTGAGTGTACTCTGGTGTGTTGTAATAATGGCATCTGTAGTGGGTGTACTCTGGTGTGTTGTAATAATGCTATCCGTAGTGGGTGTACTCTGGTGTGTTGTAATAATGCTATCCGTAGTGGGTGTACTCTGGTGTGTTGTAATAATGCTATCTGTTGTAGGTGTACTCTGGTGTGTTGTAATAATGCTATCTGTAGTAGGTGTACTCTGGTGTGTTGTAATAATGTTATCTGTAGTAGGTGTACTCTGGTGTGTTGTTATAATGTCATCTGTAGTGAGTGTACTCTGGTGTGTTGTTATAATGCCTACTGTAGTGAGTGTACTCTGGTACATTGTAATAATGCTATCTGTAGTAGGTGTACTCTGGTGTGTTGTTATAATGTCATCTGTAGTGAGTGTACTCTGGTACATTGTAATAATGCTATCTGTAGTAGGTGTACTCTGGTGTGTTGTAATAATGCTATCTGTAGTAGGTGTACTCTGGTGTGTTGTAATAATGCCATCTGTAGTAGGTGTACTCTGGTGTGTTGCATTATTACAATGTACCAGAGTACACTCACTACAGATGACATTATAACAACACACCAGAGTACACTCACTACAGTAGGCATTATAACAACACACCAGAGTACACTCACTACAGATGACATTATAACAACACACCAGAGTACACCTACTACTGATGGCATTATTACAACACACCAGAGTACACCTACTACAGATGGCATTATTACCATCTGTAGTGGGTGTACTCTGGTGTGTTGTTATAATGCCATCTGTAGTGGGTGTACTCTGGTGTGTTGTTATAATGCCATCTGTATTAGGTGTACTCTGGTGTGTTGTAATAATGCCATCTGTAGTGGGTATTCTCTGGTGTGTTGTAATAATGCCATCTGTAGTGAGTGTACTCTGGTGTATTGTTATAATGCCATCTGTAGTGGGTGTACTCTAGTGTGTTGTAATAATGACATCTGTACGATCATGGTTAATCAATTGCCTAAAAATGACTTATACAGCCTGCCTCTTCATTGTTTTTTTATTTCAGTGTTTCTTATGGATATCATATTGTAAACATGTGATAACCCATGTAAATTAAATTTTTGTTAAAATATCTCCACATTTCCTTAGTAGTTAGTAAAAAAAAAGTCAGTCAGAAGTGTAGAACTATATATATTAAAACAAAAAACCTTCACATTTTTTAAAATATTTATTGAGTAGAAAAAATGATTAATTATCTTGGATTTAGTCTTAAAATTAGAGAACTGTATTTTTAAGCATTTTATTTTACATTATAAAGTTACACAGTGCCCGTAAAAACTTAATGAAGTCTTCCCAGGAAAATTAAAAATGCTTCTTTGGAAAGTTTAACTCTAGAATGCCAGCATAGGGTCACTATGACCCCATACAAGTTAATTCTGTATACTAAATTAACCACACTGACATTCTAGGGTTATGTCTGGAAATAAAAAACTTCACTTTGAAGTAATGATTGTTTTGGTTGCTATTCATAATAGTCAATAAATTGTTAATACACATCATATATATATATATCAAAATAATTAATATATTTTATTTTATTCATTCCAAGTGATCAATATCAGTATTTTCAACAAACTATTGTTATCAGGATTAAGAAAACATTATGTAGACAAACTTTATTCTAAGATGTTATTTATAATACAACACAGTTCACTGTACTTTTTGTAACAGCTAGTAAAAGCACTTCTTAACAACTGTAACTACCACATAGCCCCTCTCTTACAAACAAGGGCCACCCCCAGGCCTTATCTCAGGGTCATGGCATCAACACTATCTGAATGCTAGCTTTTCTGTGACAATCTGAGTTATACACATGTTTTTAAAGAAGGAGTCAAACACAAGATCTACCACACATTAGATATCTGCTCTACCAACTGAGGTAAAGGGTTAACCAAATAGCAACTGCTATTAAGAAACTTCTTAACAGCTGACACTAGCACACACTTAATCATTTTGTTTGTAATGCAAATTGGTTAATTAATCTTGTTACTTATGTATAGAACTCAGTAAATCATATTACCTGAAATAAAAACCAGTTATTTGCACAGTTTGTTAGAAAATTCAGTAAATCATATTACTTCAAATAAAAATCACTTAGGTATAATGTCTGCAATACCTATCAGTTAATTAGTCATTAATTTAGACATAAACATTAATAAATATTAAGGAAAGAAGGGTATTAAGATAGCGAGAAAACACTAATTCAAATAAAAACTTTACAAAAGAAAGAAGAGACTTGTGTATACATTTAAATGGCACTAGCATCTCAATTGTTAACATATATAAAAGCTCTTTATCCCCCAACAAAACATCTCATACATCAACAAGCATATTTTTATACATAAATAATTTACTTGATCATAAAACTGTGGAGCCATCTAGATACCACTTAACAAACATAAAACTACCAGCCCTTGGCTACTGACTTTAACTGAACTAAGCCAAGCAGCTCTGTTGAAGATCATTCATGAAGAAAGCCAAGCAGCTCTGTTGAAGATCATCATGAAGAAAGCCAAGCAGCTCTGTTGAAGATCATTCATGAAGAAAGCCAAGCAGCTCTGTTGAAGATCATCATGAAGAAAGCCAAGCAGCTCTGTTGAAGATCATTCATGAAGAAAGCCAAGCAGCTCTGTTGAAGATCATGATGATCTTCATCAGAACTACTTAGCTTTCCTCATGATGACCTTCATCAGAACTACTTGGCTTTCCTCGTGAATGATCTTCCTCAGAACTACTTGGCTTTCCTCATGAATGATCTTCCTCGGAACTACTTGGCTTTCCTCATGAATGATCTTCCTCAGAACTTCTTGGCTTTCTTCCTGAATGATCTTGAACAGAACTACTTGGCTTTCTTCATGAGTGATCTTCCTCAGGTCTGCTAGGCTTTCTTCTTGAATGATCTTCAACAGAGCTGCTTGGCCTTCTTCATGATGATCTTTGCCAGTTCCACTAAGCTTTCTTTATGATGGAACTACTTGGCTTTCTTTGATCTTCCTCAGGCTTTCTTCATGAAAAACAGATCTGAGAAAGATCATTCATGAAAAAAGCAAAGTAGTTCTGAGGAAGATCATTCATGAAGAAAGCCAAGTAGTTCTGAGGAAGATCATTCACTAGGAAAGCCAAGTAGTTCTGAGGAAGATCAT